TAAGACCTTATTGGTGAACAACGTATCCTTGGAATCCCTTACACTTCAGAGTTCATAAGGGTCTCAAGGACCACAAGTAGTGCTTGTATCAGGGAAGGATATCTCATCCACAAACTAAGCCCCACCCAAAATACACTTAGTTACTCACAATCATTCTTCCCTAAAGGATTAAAGATAAATGAGGAAATCACTGTAATAACTAACATGGTAGCAACAGTTGAGACAAAAGTTCAGGTAATACATATTGTCACAAAAACTTCACAGAATACTACAGCAGAGTATAAGGATATGAACACTATCAACTTTAACTCAGATATAAGAATGTAGGTTGCTGCAGGTATTTACACTATCCAACAGCATGCATCAGAACACTTGAAGGGACCAATCACAGATGTAAACAAGAGAGGTCATAGCAGTCACTAGCTCAAGTTTGAAACACTAAGTTAAATGACTTAGGGAGGTATAACAAATATGTATCTTAACCTTACCAATCCTACTGATAGGTCCAAACTAGTAGGGACTTTTAACTAAGTTCACACCATACCAACAGTTATTAGAAGTCAAGGTATTCAACCTAAGGGTGTCTAACGGGTGGGCCGGGCCGGGCCGGGATGGGTAGGGAAATATTGGAACCGTACGGGTTTCGAACCAGGCCGGTTACGGGTTAGGGGTTACTGGGCTTAACGGGTTCGGGTTCATCCGGGTAAAAAATAACCGTAAGGATTACGGGTACAAGGAGCCGGGCTGGGCCGGGTTAGTGTAATTTTTTTTTTGTATTTTGTATAAATATTGTAAGTTTTATTAAAATAAAATAAAAATATAAAGGATACAATGAAGATGGGAAAAAATTGCACTTATAAATTGCAAGTGCTACATTTATTCAAAATTCAAACTTACAAATTGAAGTTTGCATTTAACAATAAGTAAATTATCGAAAAAAGAGAAACTAAATTTTCATGCATAATAATACTTCAAAGTTTAAATTAATCTAACAAACTAAAATATTAAGCATAAATACGTCTAATAAATTTAAAATAACACAAACTGTCTCAAATCAACTTAAATACAAATTTCTGGAGGACGCTCAAGACAACTCTTCATATGCCTCCTTAAACAGCCTGTGCCCACTGACTTTGGACAAAGATTAAAGACTCGACCACAGTTCTTGCTCTTTACTTTGTGAACTTCTTCATTTTCTTCTACCACCTCAAAGTGTTCCCAAATATATGAGCGCACTCTACAAGTATGGGGCGTGATTTAACTTGAATTGAGAATTTGAGTTTGAGAAATGAGAGATGAGTGAAGAAATGAAGAAGGGGGGGGGGGGGG